TAATAAGTTAAAGAATATTTCTCTATATGTTTATAAATTGTTGAAACTAAATATGTCATTGAGATTTTGAAGAAATATTTCAAATATCTTCGAATGAAATCTACAAGAAATCTTGAAAAATCTGTCGCTCGAGATATTTAGCAAAGATTACAAAGAAATATTTAGAGAATTATTCTATGCTACTAGGGATAATTCAATTTTCAGGATTTATCGGGACATTCTTTCGGGTGGAATCCCACGTTCCATTGGGTTGTTCCGGGATTTCCCGTATAAGTTTGTGCGAACTCTTAGAGAAATAATCGTATGTTTAAGTTGACCTGAAAGTGGCGTTTAAGAGTCAGCTTCAAACAACGTTAAATAAAAGATTTAGGAATTTGGAAAGAAGCAGCGACGGAGTATATGGTATTAATTAACAGAGAAGACATTTCTGAACCTTCGGATATTTCTCTGCGAGTTTGGGGAATGATCCAATGCGATTGAATCTCGGAGGTACTGGGAATAATAATTACTCTGTAGCATATCAGGGCCATTCGTCCATCGTGGGACCAGGAAAAGTGCGTGACCGGCGTATTTCTGTCGTTTATCAGCTCTATGCTCCATCTGCCTTCGTACTTTATCCACACGAAAATCACGCCCGAACTGTCGCACGAGGCCAGTTTCTGATAAGGCTCGTTCCACTTTACCAGGATCACCTGAAATCATTAACAATTCGCGGACCGGTTATAAATAGCAGTGGAAACCTCGGGGGAGAGAATTGCGACAATTTGTTAACGCTACGCGATATTTACACCCTCGAATTAATTTATGGAGGAACATTGGGGCTCGCAGGTGTTGTTCTGTCCCCACAAATTCCTATTCTAAAGCGTTTATGCGGACATAAAGCGATATCAGGACGTTACGTGGGTTTAAAGGGACATTACTGAGTTGCGCGGGTGTAAAACGAAGTTACCGAGTTCCTTGAGTTACGTCTATTTAGCTATAATGCATTTTATTTTCCGGCAATAATATCGAAAAGATTACGAATTTCTAATTTTTCTACCCCCTCGTGTGGGACTCCTATTGTCGTGATTATTTCATGCTGGAATGAAATTGCCGAGATCATAACCGATAAGGAATGAGAACAACGTGTTTCATATATTAATGATCACGAACACGGGAAGTGAATTAAATTCAGGGTTAGTTAAATACGGGATATCCACATTTTAATTTTGCGACAATTTGTTAACGTTACGCGATATTTACACCCTCGAATTAATTTATGGAGGAACATTGGGGCTCGCAGGTGTTGTTCTGTCCCCACAAATTCCTATTCTAAAGCGTTTATGCGGACATAAAGCGATATCAGGACGTTACGTGGGTTTAAAGGGACATTACTGAGTTGCGCGGGTGTAAAACGAAGTTACCGAGTTCCTTGAGTTACGTCTATTTAGCTATAATGCATTTTATTTTCCGGCAATAATATCGAAAAGATTACGAATTTCTAATTTTTCTACCCCCTCGTGTGGGACTCCTATTGTCTTGATTATTTCATGCTGGAATGAAATTGCCGAGGTCATAACCGATAAGGAATGAGAACAACGTGTTTCATATGTGCCCGTAATTATGAAAGTGGTCTAAGTCATATATTTTTTGTTTCGAAATTACATTGAATTAATTTCGTTTGTAATAATATGGCGTGAAATAACTGATAAACTCATTTTTTTTTAAATTTTGACTTAGACCACTTTCATAATTATGGGCACATATATTAATGATCACGAACATGGGAAGTGAATTAAATTCAGGGTTAGTTAAATACGGGATATCCACATTTTAATTTTGCGACAATTTGTTAACGTTACGCGATATTTACACCCTCGGATTAATTTATCGAGGAACATTGGGGCCCGCAGGTGTTGTTCTGTCCCCACAAATTCCTATTCTAAAGCGTTTATGCGGACATAAAGCGATATCAGGACGTTACGTGGGTTTAAAGGGACATTACCGAGTTGCGCGGGTGTAAAACGAAGTTACCGAGTTCCTTGAGTTACGTCTATTTACCTATAATGCATTTTATTTTCCGGCAGTAATATCGAAAAAGTGAGGAATTTCTAATTTTTCTACCGCCTCGTGTGGGACTCCTATTGTCTTGATTATTTCATGCTGGAATGAAATTGCCGAGGTCATAGCCGATAAGGAATGAGAACAACGTGTTTCATATATTAATGATCCCGAACATGGGAAGTGAATTAAAGTCAGCGGTTAGTTAAATAAGGGATATCCACATTTTAATTTTCTTCTCCATTGAAAATTCTCCTTAGGGTGTTTATGTTCTACATATATATGTATATACACACATATTTGTACAAGCAGTATATCCAGGACCTCATATCGCGTCTCCCTCTGCAAGGCTCGAGGTCGAGGTTGAATAAACATGAATCCCTCGGTTCAGGCAAAATTTGGCAGAAATTCTGTCGAAATGCCAAGCGAGAGGCACTCTGTTGGATACAGGTGAGCCAAAGCAACCAGGTAAATCATCCTCGTTGGTTCTCAAGAGGGCCGGTTAAGGCAGGATCCTTAACCCAGTTCCTCCCCATTTCCGCTTCTCGGTCGCGAGTTAAAGATTCGCGGATCGATGGGCGAGAGGACGGGCAATCTCTCGGCGATGATCGGCCGCGTAAATCCGCATTTAAGTGTCTCCCTAGCCATTAAGTTTAGGGGCCATATCCGGCCTCTCGAGATCCTTCCAACCGGAAGGACGAGTCGCGAGGTCGGAGGCGAAATCGAGCCCAGCTGGACTGAAATTCCAGGGATACGAATAATCCACCCTTAGAAAAAGAATTCATATCCAAGAAATTTTACTCACAGCAAGAAGCGGGAACATTTGAAAACGGGCGAGAAAAAAAAAAGTTATACAGATAAGAAAAAAGCAAATACTTCACCGGGGCAACGCAAATTCTATTCGCATTAGCAATATCCTTTTCTAGTGGCAATAAATTGTATATCACTCATCCGTTTGAATATTTTTATACGTTGCAAGGAAATTCATTTGCCAATTTGGTAAGTAGACATTTTTTCTAAAGAAAGTCTTTACAATTTGATATAATTATAAAGATTTTCCTTGTCGGGGCGTAGGAGCGAAACTTGATCGGCAATGCTGTCCCTTGATAAATGTGCAAATGTCTTTATTTATTACTTCGGGTATTTTTTCTATAGTGCCGCTTTTGCTGTATAATTTATCCATTTCTAATGGCAATAAATTGTATACCACTCATCCGTATGAATATTTTTTTACGTTGCAAGCAAATTCGTTTTAGCCAATTTGGTAAGCAGACATTTTTTCTAAAGAAAGTCTTTACAACTCGATATAATTGTAAGGATTTTCCTTATCGGGGTGTAGAAGCGAAACTTGATCGGAAATGCTGTCCCTTGATAAAGGTGCAAATGTCTTTATTTGTTATTCCAGGTATTTTTTCTATAGTGCCGCATTTGCTGTATAATTTAAGATTAAAGACTGTAATCATTATTTCCGGGATATTTTAATGGATTCACCTCGAATATATTCGCGACTGATCGACATTTCGGGAGAGTTCAGGGGTGTCGGGAAAGCCCTCAAAATCCTGGGAGTTTTCGAGCTCCCAGAGCTCAAGGTCTCGGTCGGACCACTACTTTATTCATGGCGTAATTTCGAGGACTCGTCGCCAGAATTCCCTTGCGAAAGAGTTGCGAAAGCGCGACTTAATCCTCCGTTAACGAGCCGCCTCGTTAACGCGGCTCCCCCGATGCGCGCCGTTTCGTTACCTCGCGATCGTCCACCCTTGAGGAGTAGTAATGGACCCTCTCTTTTCAGGAATCTCGGTTCCACCTTTTAACGCGATCTCTATCCGGATCCCCAGAGTCTTTGAGACATCCTCCTCGGAAAACGTTGAACCCAGTCCCGCTGCATCTTGGGGTCTAGAGTTTCGAGTGCAAGGGGGTGATTAAGGTGATATGAAAGTGGCGTCAAAGAGTTCTCGTCCGTGAAACATTTCTCCAAACTGGATGTACTCGATTCGAACATTACAATATAAATATGGAGGGGTATATGGAAGTTCCTGAAACTCATGAAATTTCGTTGTTTTCTTTCTTTATCTTTTTCTTTTTTAATTTCATTCATAGATATTTTCATAATTTTTATTATTAAAAATTCAAACTCCGAGTTTTAGGACCTACCTTAAGGGGATGTGAAAGTGGCATCCGAAAGCTCAAGCGTTCATAAGACTTTTCTACGAACTGGGTGTCTCAAATCATTTCATGCTTTAAAACGTGAGTATGGAGACCCTAAGGTAGGTCCTGAAACTCGCGAAATTTCATTTTTTATAAACTATTTTTAATATGCCTATAAAGAAATTTGATTGAAACTCATGAACTTTTAATTCTTTACGAAAACTACGATACGATAATATGGAGTATTTCATTAGCGAGTCCCCTCGGATGATACTTTCATATCGCCTTAACGTTTTTTCCAAGGAACCTGAGAAATCCCATCAAGGAGGGGGAGTCCTGGCAAGCCTTGAGAAGGAGGAATCTGCATTGCGGAGCAGCCACGTCCTCCTCGAGTCGTCACGAGCCGCAGGTAACATGCGAGTTACGTGGCCGCGTCGTTACGTGCACGGTATGTACTTGTGCACGTGCATGTATGTATTGGAGCAGGTATGTACAGTACAGGTATCGCCGTGCACGTGCAGCCACACACTGGCAGAAATCGATGTAGATTTACATACATTTTGTATACCTCATGAGTGAAATTTCACGCGGAAAAAACGTGAAATGGCAAAATGACAAATAAGAAACTGCATAAATACACGTAACATTGTATATTCACCGTATCGGCGGATTTTTACTTCAATTAAACGTAACATTACGTTTTAAGATCCTTCGACTTACAAGGAAGGTATCCCAGGTCGATCTCTCCGATTTCATTTCTTTTATAATATGTTATAGTAGACTAAAAAGTAAGCGACACGTATTTTTTTTTTATCTGCCATTAAACACTTTAAGGGGGTGAAACCACCATCCAAAGTAAGGCATGTCAAGGGACAATTTGGCAGTCTCACCCACAAGAACGTAATATTTTTTTAACCAATCCACCTTGAAAAGCTTTCTCATAACGCGAAATGAATAATATAATTTTCTGAATTAAAAACAAATTGAGGGGTGAGCCACCCCTCACAGGCCTTACTTTGAATGGTGGTTTCACTCCCTTAAAGTGTTTAATGGCAGATAAAAAAAAATACGTCTCGCTTAGTTTTTAGTTTACTATAACATATTATAAAAGAAATGAAATCGGAGAGATCGACCTGGGATACCTTCCTCGTTAGTTTGGATGCCGAGTACGATATTACAGAGACGATTTCAGTACAGAGATGATTTTTTGCAATTTATTGTGGCGCCGAATATAAACATTGATTATGTAAATTTATATGGGCATTTCTATTAGTGGATGTAGGCGCATGTACACAGACGACATTGCACATGTAGATACGTGCATAGGTATCGCTATACTCATGCAGCCACGTGTACAGGTATCTTTATTCACCCGCTACCATACATAAACACAGGAATTGTACATGCAAACACGTGCACAGATATCTTTATTCACCCGCTACCATACATAAACACAGGAATTGCACATGCAGACACGTGCACAGGTATCTTTATTCACCCGCTACCA